GAAAATCACTTTATGTTTATAAAATAGCAATGGCAGAGAGAAGCTATGAATTGAGTTTTATGCAGATGAACTTTTGCATCTATTAATGAAAAATGCTACTGGAATAAAGTGAAAGATTCTATATAACAAATTAAAATCTCATTTAAGGGCATTCTAGAGAATTAGCAATGACTAGTGACAAACATGTCACCATTCTGTTTCCTTAGTTGAATCTTACGTTCCAGAATAATATTAAAGAGTTTGGTTCAAAAATAATATAACAATTAGTAATAAAAAAATCTTACTGCAAAAAACTTAAACAGTTACTTTTATTTTCAAGAAAGGAAGTCGAAGGGGTAGAGAAAATTTTGCTCACAAAATCTGGATCTAAAATGATTGAATCTGAATTATATAAAGTAAAAAAAAAAAAAAAAAAAAATCTACAGGAAACACTAATCCTCATGGAAGGAGGAAAAGTTTTCAAGTGAGAAAAGGGATGCAAAATTAGCTTAAGTAAAACTGAGTGTATTTTGAATAAAAATAATGCACGTAAAGAGTGTTTTATAGTGCAAATGACTCTTAAGGAAAAGCAAGACATTATAAGTAATAAAATGGCATGCTATACTTATTTTAGAATGAGAATTGTGCAAAATATTGCAATCTAAGAGGCAATGTGAAATTTCTTCCAAAAGAGACTGGACAGAGCTGCCTAAAAATCATCAAGTTTTGAAAATTTTAAAATTAAATGAAATAAAATCTATGGAATCCAGCAAATTCAATATGTCATTAGCTAACTCCTGCTGCACTGAAATATTTCTTCAAACCTTATAAGTAAATGTGGTAGTTAATAGGACAAAATGCTCCATTTAACAACATATTCCAAAAGGGACAGTTGAAGAAATGGACTGCATTTCATTTAGTTCCAAACCTTTCATTCATAATCTGTTTGGTGTTTCAGTGTTGAAACAAGGAAACCATAAACATTACTTAGTACAATCAAACAGTATTACAAGTGATTATGCTCAAAAGATGCAGCTTTTAGATCAAATAGCTATTTGTGACTAGGTAGTGGGAATCTGCATGGAACCCGGCTGGAAGAAATTAAGCAATGGGATATCTATATGACTGACAGGAAAAGGTCAACCATAAGTAGAAATTTTGATTGGTGTTAATTGAAGTTGGAAAATGACATAGTAGGAAACTATAGAATCTGTCCAATGGACTTGTTACCATAGGAATTTGCCTCACCTGGGTAATAATAGGAAAGTGTGTAGACCATTCTGCAGTCACAGTCATTCTACTGAATTTACATTCTATTCACTCTGAGTAATTATCTAGATTTATGAAAATTAGACACCAATAGAATTACAGATGCATGTGAAAGTATTCCAGAAGTGAAATGCAAAAGGCTGTTATTAGTCTTTCTGAAGAAACAATGAAAATAAATTCTGAAAGAGATGACATTAACTTATTATGGGTAATGACAGAAATGACCTACTTATAAACAAAGCATGTACTGAGAAACCATTGATTTCTACCATAGCTAAACTAACATCAGCAGAAAACATTTGAAGATACAATTTAGCTTTTGAAAAATGGATTTAATAGGGAGCAATTTAGAAAATAATTAACGAATTTAAAGCAAATAATAGTACTAAAGGACATTATCTTTCACATCAAGGTGTTTTAAAGAAAATGACTCCTGTAAGGGCTTTTCTGATGCTTTTTTTTTTTTTTTTTTTTTTTTTTTTTTTTTTTTTTTTTGAGTAAAAGGGTACTCTTTCTTTAATGATTGCTTGGCTAAGGCACCTAATTTGTAACAGCTTATATCTAACATTTTGTTTAGATTCAGAGACACTGACATAAATTAGGCTTTTTTACAAATTTCTACAAATAAGAAAGACCAAGACTCTTCATTTTCTGTAGAGGACAGATTGACAAAAATCTGCAATGAAAGTAATATTTAGATCAAGGACCCCTTTCAAAAAAGTGGTTTTCTTCATCAAACCCCTTACATTTTCCTCTCTAATATAGAGCAGGAATTCTCAACCATTCATAGTTTCAAGGAAGGAATGTAGTCAGTCTTTTATTTATGTGTTAAGGATTTGGTTCCAGTTTATGAATATAAAAATATACCTTTATTCAAGTTTTGGTGTGTTTTCTTGCAAAATTTTCTTGCCTTTTTCTTGCTTAATTTACTAAACTCATTAAAAATAATCTAAATTTAAATAAATGTATATGTATTTTTTGAATTTCAAAAATAAGGGAGGGGATGGTCACCTCGGAATGGTGAACGGTATGCAGGGAGCAAAAAAGGTTGAGAACCCTTGTTACAGATATAATTATAATACAGAAAAATTGCACATAAATAGCTTAAAGATAATTAAGAATATGGATGAAAGTTTTGGGGAAAATTGGTTATTATTTTTGGTATTGTTACTATTTACAGATATAAATATATGTTTAGAAATAAAATAGCAGATTCTTATTGCACAAAATATTGATTTCAATAAATATGATCACTGTGCTTGATGTAATGAAGCAATTTTTTAATATTTGGCATAAATTTGCTCAACTTGAATCTTAAACCTCTTTGAAAATGGGTTGAAATACTTATCTATTTTTCATTTTCCGTAGTAAGTTACTTACTTGACTGAAGCCTGCATCCACAAAGAAGATGGGAAAAGTTGATAATGTTAGTTCAGTGGTAGCTTTTATTTTGGGCTATTTCTCTAAATTGGCTTTTAAATTCCAAAATTTAGCGTACCGATGTGTTTTCAATAAGATGAATGTTTCAACATCTTTCTTCAACGTAATCAACTCTTCTTGCATCACAATTTCAAGACCAGATACATCACAGTTCAGTGCTTCTATGAGCCATGCTGTCACATTTAATTTTTCAATGTCTTGGATAAAATGTTTTAAATTTTGTGAATAACATATATATAACAATATATCATCTCATGAATTAACGTCCTCTTCAGTAATGGACAATTAAATTAAATTAATGACATTCTTTTTCATTTAATGTTAATATAAACAAGTCAATTTCAGAAAAAGAAAGGGGGGTAATCCTTTCTAACTTCAATGAGATTAATGTCTCTCCCTTGAAGTATGTTTGGTGTGGCATTGAACAATAAACATCAATCAGCCAAATAAAATATTAATTTTTAAATCTTATGAAATGTGTATCCGTTGAGCACTCAACTTCAAGGAAAAATTCTATCACAATAATAAAAATGTTTATAAAAAACTATAAATATAGAGACCTAGCATATCATATGCAAAGTACATTGTTGTAGCTTTCATCATTGTAATCAACTGATTGCAGAAAAAAATGGTCATTCAAATAATAAGTTTTGATAGTATTCATTGCCTTGATTAATACTTTTAAACCACTATGAAGCTTCCTGAATATTTTTCACTGCTAAATGTTGCCAGTGCAAAGCAGTAAAAAGTCTAAATGTTACTGAGCTTGCTTTTGAGATATGCTAAAAGGCCTGGATATTTTCCAACCATTGGCTAGTGCACTATGACACGAAACTGCAGGAATACTGGTCAAAGGAATGGCATACTGGTAGAAAATGTTTTCAGCTCAATGAAATACGTCTTCTCCTCCTATGCATGTTTTAAGATTAATTTTTTTTAATTTTTAAATTCTGCATTAAACTATAATAATGCACATTATTAAAATGTTCCTTCCAAAAGTTGATCCATCCAACTGTATGGTAAATTTATTGACCTTTAATTCAGAGATCAGCTGCTCAATAGTTTCAGCCACTTCATCTATACAGCACTGAAATGTATTGCTACTAAGCAGCTAACTTTGTAAAATTTAATCTGGATTCATTTCCATAACTTCAGTTTACCTCGTAATAAAATTCACCAACTGCTTACAAGTACCCTTCTCTAGCAATTAAACAGGAAATATTATATGAAGCTTCCAGTAATTTTTCATAATTTGTAGATGTGAGAAATACTGTGTGTATGCAATTAGCGAGCTTCCTTTACCCATGAGAAAATCCCAGTTCTTCGTCTAGCCCTAGGCCAGACCGAGTGAAAGAGGGATATTAGACTGTCTGCTGCATATTCATTTCCCGCTCTGCAAGAGAAGAGAAATGGGGCTTTTGTCTGAAAAATGCAGATGCAGTAGGGTGCATCTGGGAAGCCTTTATTTTCCCCATTCTGTAAAATTATGCTGTAAAGCTGTTTTTATATACTAATTCAAACCTTGATATACCCTAGAATTCACTTATCTGACAACCTTAATGTATTCTATCCCAGCAGTTTGGCAACACTACAGCTTTTAGAAATTGGTGGCTATGGTGGTATAAAAATCTATAGCAGCAGTTTTAGTTTGGTCATCAAATGAGAACTCTTGCATTTTACTCGGCAGATAATTTGGGTATTAGTCTGGGTATTGATGTGTAGAATTAAGATCCTATTCATCATCATATTTCAGTTTTGTGGGACAATGAAAGTCCACAGATCATCAGCACCTTGTGGGACTGCTCTATATCCATAAATATTTCTGTGTAGGAAAAAATAAAAATTTCATCTGTTTAGGAAGTGGCTTCAAAAACCTGAATCATCCTTTTAAGTTTGTGAGACCATCAGAGTGTGAAACATGACGTACTGTGAAATGCAAAGTGTTTTGTTATGATAAGTTGATAAGTGTTATAAAGTGTCTGAACCATCCATGTCCACAAAATTCTTTAGTTGTGATAAACAACACCTTCACATTCCAAGCGTCAACCAGTTTGTCACGTCTCAGATCCAGGCAGCTAAGTACCTTATATTTTTATATTGAGGCAGTGAATTAAATTATTTTAAGTTATTTTTTTAACTTAATTTATACAAGTAGCTGCTTTTAGTCAACATTGTCTTCCTCTACAGCTTAAAGAAATGTGTTGCACACAAACATAAATGAAAGCATAAAACTCTAGTAACAAATAATGCAATAAACCCACTTACTGCTAAAAACACAGCAAAAGAAAAACATAAGAACAAAAGATAATTACTTCAGGGGAGAAAGGTTCATACTGATTCAGCTTCTCGGGATCAGTAACAGCCTGATTATAAACTTGTTGCAGGATGTGACGCAACAAGCCATTGCTAGGTTTTGTCTGGAGTTGGGCAGGTCTGGATGTGCCTTTCCACTAGAGGAAAAAAAATAAATATTTATTAAATCAAATTTATTAATTATTCCAAAGAAATATTCAGGAAATAAAGCATTTTTCTAAGAGATGAAAAAGGAATAAAATTATGAAGATCCCACAAAAGGGCACTAATTTTATATACGGTGTCATAAGTTTGCCACCTAGCCATTTACCAAAACTGTTTCAGTAAAATCATATGCCGCCTCGAATATCTCTCTTCAGCCATCCTTAACAGCGACATCTAATTGTCTTTTCAGCAATTCTTAGCACTATTTATCCCAATTAAAACCATAATATTTATTAATAATATTTTTACAATAATATTTTTCAGGATTTCACAATATCTGCAACTAATTTCAAGATTATTTCGCCTTTTAGCTTCAAAAAAAAAAAAAAAATAGACCAACTAAGCGAATTTCGCACTTATCAAAAACATCAATATTGTTAAACATCTTCCCATACATGCTATATTAAAAAAAAATTGCTTTTTAATCCATTTCACAATTCGTTTAAAAAAAAGAGTTCTTTATTTTGTTCGTACGTATAGATATCGCGCAAAAAAAAAATATCTGAATTAATTCCGGAATGGTCAAAATGGATATTTCCAATGAAATATGATACACAAACTTTTTCACAATTACAAAACTTCCTTTGCTTTGTACAAGGAAATTAAAAGATGATGGTGATGATGGAATACAAGAACTGCAAGAAAAATGCTATAATATAGTATGTATCTTACTTTTATATGTACAAAAGCCATTTTCTTCATTCTTATTTCCAAGTTCAATGGAAATTAAAAAATAACTGCCCCTGGCATGCATACACACACAGGATATTTTAAATTCAACAGAGAAAAAGGATCATACAGCATACTAAAACAAATATTTTTCATAAAATATGTATAATCGGTAAGATAAGAGGCAAAGTCCAGTTTTCCTAGCAAGGACCTTCCTATCATTTAGGAGTTTTCATGTAAAAACTACAAATGAGGGTGGCCAGCGTTATGGCCGTGTCATCATTAAAAAAAACCAAAGAAAAGTATTTAATCAATTAAATGAATAAATCACACTCTGGGAAACCACACTCTGAATAATATATAATGCATAATTCATAATAAATATATAATGCATAGACCGTATGTAATGTATATCAGAATGTATAATTGGTATTAAAGCATGAAAATAGTAAAACAAAAGATAGTCACAAAATAAAGGTTTATGACACAGTTTACAATACATGCATAGAAGAATGACTGTCAACCATAATACAAACATACAAGCCTAACAGCCTAACTGCAGTGAATGTCATAGATTCTTAAAGATGCAGAACATTTAATAGATAAATATTAGCAAGAAAGAAAGCATAACATTGAGATCTTGACCGAAGTCAACATTAGTCTCGTACACAAGATTTTTCAAGGTGCCTTAATAAGTAGAAATGCAACAAATCCACTGATCAGAAGCAGATGTACAGGATTGCAAACTGCTCACGAGAAGTTCCTCACATAAATTTCTCAATTAAAGAACAAATAAGCACATCCTTTGCCTGAAGATGAAGACCCTGCAAAAGTTCAGGGATGCTCAATTCATAAATCTACCATTCCCCACAACAATGTTTCGTGGCCAAGCAATTGGTTTACTTTGGCTAATCCATTAATCTTCAAAACTAGTATTCAAATAATTAATTAACTTCATGATAACATATAGTGGCATCCTATCATGATTGATATCAGATGGCTTCTGGAGCATCTTGTAGCAAGTACAGCAAGGTAACTTTAAAAGAAATTCATTACATCCTCATATAACACAAGTTTGCAACATAAGCACTGTAAAAAATTAGGTTAACTGATGAAAGCAATGTACATTAAGGGCTATATGCCTAAGAAAGTGATGCCTTCATGGAGAACTTTTAAAAGAAACTGACTCATATCCACATAATACACATTAAAACAAAACAAAAACTACGCAGCCAGGTTCGTTAGCAAAGATTTAAACTGTGCTCAAATCATCGGGACTTGGTATCCTTGTCAATCAAGCATTTTCTCTCATCCATATCATGCTTTAGAGGTCTGGTTATGAATAGCATATACACTGGAAAATTCAACAGTACTTGTGCATTAGTGCAACCAGCTAGTCGCTGTTTGGCAATTTTTTACAGAAATAAAAGTGATTTGGTGAATTTTCAGTTTGTAACTACCAGTGCATATGATTATCTAAACAGCTGTTACGCGCATGGTTACCCCAGAGTTTGGCGACTTCTAATCAGGTGATTATGATAACACATACGTACCAAATAAAATACAAAATAATGCACAAACCTTTATCTGAATTTAACATAAGGATAATCTTTAGCTTCTACCCTGCAATGTAACTGTTCCCTTCCCCAGCAAAACTCTCCTATTATGATATGATTGTAATGAATGTAATATACTAACTAGCATGCAGTTTGTTATTATTTTGTGTATGTATGTTATCTTTCAATTTTTTATAAAAATTCATAAGATAATGGTAAGTGAGTACAAAAATATGTGATTAAGCAATGCTTAAAGCAACAAGCTAAATATCAAACATCGTGTGACAACGAATTTGAAAGAAGGTTTTGAAAAGGATAAAAAATAAGCAGGAATGACAGAAACATATCCAAGGAAATCATGAGAATAAAGTGCAAATGACAGGACAGCACTTTCAAAGTTCTGAAATATGGCTTTAATATCTCTGAACATGTCCTTATTATATATCATTCACAAAATTTTCTATTACACCATTTGTATTAGACAATGTATTTGCATTGAATGTGCTTTTTAAACTTCAGGCCTATTCATTAAGTGTTTTATATAGATTTTAGATACACTTAAAATAAAAATATAACAAATGTATTAAGCATACAATGGTATCAAACTACAGAGTTTGCAAAACTATGAAAACTGAGAATTTTGCAAAAATACATTTAAATTAAATTACATAAAAAAAAAAGAAAAGAAAAACAATTACTTTGCAACGTACATACCAAAGGCATGCTTACCAAATTTACAACACCATCAATTGCTCTATTGTATTTATCACAGAGTTTTTTCATACTTTCATAGCTACAAAATAAAAACAAGAAAAATTAATTTCTTTCAATGAAATAAAAACACTTCCCTATATCATATAATGCAGAAAAAATAAATCAAATGATTTTAATTATGTTGATTTAAAACCATGAGCTCTGATTAGTAATTTGCAAATAACAATCATGAGTAAATTCTTGAAATAAAAACTAATGTTTAACTTAATAAAGTATTAAATTTTGGAGGTAAGACCACTGAATCTAAAATAAGAGAAGCAAAGCTCGAACTATTTCATAGTAAAAATTTTATGACCACAATTACATTATTACCAAATTTATTAATTTTATAAATTTGACTTTTATTTACTTCATGCCTTTCTTGTTGAACAGCACACTGTGACTTCAAAGTTTTAGCAGAATGCAGAAAGGAAGTGTCTAGCTGAATGTCTAATACCTTCTGTTGAAATAATCTATCCTCAGTATTATCAATATCTTATTTTTTTTTCAGTTATTATTATTCCACATTAAAATATGAAAGTTTGACTTTACTTGAGACTATTTAATTTCTATCATTCCTTCTATATGCTTTCCAAGTTAAAAATCTATAAATTTACATGGCATTTTGTTTTTCCTTGAAACATACATGGGGTAGCTGCAGAGAAAGCATGTAATCCTTATCTCCTTTTTAACACCCCCTCCCATAAAACTGCCTGCCATAAGCAAAACATCTGGTACATCATTCATTATACATCTACATTTAATGAACTTAAAGAATTCAAAATAAAATTAACCATGATGTATTTTATTTATACTAAACCACAACATAGACATGAAACAGAATATGCATCTCTCTGACATTTCATATTTATGTGATTTTTTTTTATGTTGCCACCTATAGCTTCTATTTAGTGGCATTACTGAAATAGTATCAATGCTGAATCATAAGGAAAGGATGTTCAAGGAGTACCTCAATTTTGAGGTAAGTCCTCTGGATTGTGAAATGAATTTGAGGAAATTTACAATTTGGTTGTAAATTTCCTCAAATTCATTTCACACACACAATTACATTATTACCAAAATAAAAATTTCAACAGAAGGTATTAGACATTCAGCTAGACATTTCCTTTCTGCATTCTGCTAAAACTTTGAAGTCATAGTGTGCTGTTCAACAAGAAAGCCATGAAGTTCAATTTGAGATTTTAGTTCAAACCGGATATCAATTCCCCTTTTTACCAGGGTTGTGTGTTTTTGAATAGCTACAGAATAAAAACTGCTTTTAGGAAAATTTACAGAGCAATTCATTTGATGAAAATCAGAAAATATTTAATACACTGCTAGCATTATACAGGCATAAGCTTTTATGTTAAGAATTCTTATTATATTTCTTTTCTTTGAAGTTATACTACACTTATAACACTAGTTTCTGAATTTTTTAATCAACTTAGACAATAGCACACAGATAAACTTATACGGAAATTTTTGGTCTCATTATGCAGGTGAAGGGGGAAAAACCCTTCACCTCCACCAGAATAAATAAATCATATGCTATGACATATAGCATTTCACAATTTCAACAAAAGTCTTTTTCTCATTTGAAACAAATGCAGAGTTAAACATGAAATAAAATTTCTTTTCCTATCAAATACAGATTACAGATGAAAAGAGAGCAGTAGATATGAAAACAACTTTCATGCCTTCTGAGACAATGAAATCAGAAAAAAAGACTTTAGATTAATTTAAAACAAAGTTATTTTTATATTAATTCCTTGCCGCTACCTTTTATTTACTTCAGCCTTCAGCAGAATGCAAATTAAAAGTAAAATTGCTCCTAATGAAGACATAAGAAGAGTTGTAGTAGCAAGAACTTGAAAAATATGAAATATGGTGAAAGGAAAGCTCAGGAAATGCGGAATTCGGGATGCGCGATGATTCCGAATAGTTAAGCATATAAAAAACGAAATTCACGAAAACGCACAACTCGTAGGAAAAATTTCCGCTCTAAAATCATAAATAATCATCTTACTGTTATCAAGTTGAATATCAAAAACCTACCTGTAAATTTAAGATTGGGGGGATCGCCCTTTAATCTTATAAAAAGCCCATGTATTTCGTAAGACCGATCCGATTATGAAATCCCGCCAAACAGGAACGTTTCCACAGATGTCGCCAATAATTCTGGCAGAATTTTACGACAAATCGTTCTTTACTTAGATAATAAAGAGATACAAATTACAGATATAGCATACAAAAAACTTAAATCTCTTACCATACTTTTTCACGTTACGTTGTCACTGTTTATTCGTTACCGAATTCACGTATAGCGGCTATTTTTGATGCCCGGATTCTGTAACTTTGCAAATACGCGATTCAATTTACCTACAGATGACGCTTTCCGAACGTCAGCGTGGCGGATGAATAACGGTCATCTGACCTTACACATCCGAAAATAGAACTGTTAGGCTTTTCTGCGATTTTTGATTTCATTCAAAGAGGTGCGAATTCTCGCTGTATTACTGAAGCAAAAAGAATTTTAGAAGTGGATCATTTAGTAATACACGGAACTTTACTTGAAAAACCGAATTCAGAAATTTTAGCTTCAATTTAAAACAAGTTCTATACGGATTCAATTTACCAACAGGTGGCGCTTTCACACATTAGCATGGCGGATAAAAAAAAGTATTGTGATCTGACCTTACGCATCCGAAAATGGAGTTGCTAAGCTTTACTGAGATTTTTCATTTCATTCAATTAAATGTAAATTCTCGTTGTATTACTAAAGCAAAAAGAATTTCAGAAATGGATCATTTAGTCATGTACGGCATTTTACTTGACAAATCGAATTCAGAAATCTTAGCTTCAATTTAAGGACAAGTTCTATACGGATTCAATTTACTAACAGGTGGCGCTTTCACACATTAGCATGGCGGATAAAGAAAGGTATTGTGATCTGACCTTACGCATCCGAAAATGGAGTTGCTAAGCTTTACTGAGATTTTTCATTTCATTCAATTAAATGTAAATTCTCGTTGTATTACTAAAGCAAAAAGAATTTCAGAAATGGATCATTTAGTCATGTACGGCATTTTACTTGACAAAAATCGAATTCAGAATCTTAGCTTCAATTTAAGGACAAGTTCTATACGGATTCAATTTACTAACAGGTGGCGCTTTCACACATTAGCATGGCGGATAAAGAAAGGTATTGTGATCTGACCTTACGCATCTGAAGATGCAGTTGCTAAGCTTTACTGAGATTTTTAATTTCATTCAAGGAAATGTAAATTCTGGTTGTGTTACTGAAGCAGAAATAATTTTAAAAGCAGATCATTTATGAGTTTTGTTTGAAAAATCGAATTTAGAAATTTTAACTTCGTGTTTAAGGACAAATTTTATAGCGTCCTGCAAGTCATGAAATCGAAGTTGTTTCGCTGATGGGAAAGATGAATTGAAAATAAAATAATTAACTTGTTCTTGCAAAGGAGCTGCTGGTTGTTGTAAGCGCTGAGCCACTGCTTTATTGCATAGCAACATGTAGTTGATTTTAGTGTTTATTTTTATTGGTTGCAAACAAATGATTTCATGTGTATTTTATGTGTTTAACTTGAGATTTGAAGAGAAGCCATGCAGTCAGAAATGTCTTATTTTATAAAAATTACATTGAATTGACATATACTATTTAAAACTAACACTGAATTAACTTACATTACAAAAATTATATTGAATCCATGAAAGCATTTTCTATTTTTAAGCAGAACATAAGATTTTAAAAATAGCAAGTTGTCTTTTAACCACTTTTGTTTCTCTAATACATTTTTTATTAACTTCATATCTCAGTCAAAAGTTCAAGAATAAACTGTAATAAGCCTTTTACTTAAATTTCATCATCTCCGATTGGTTTGCTTCATTTCATTACCGCGAAGCACACGAGAGCTATCCGCTTAAAGGGAGGGACGACTTTCTAAGGAAAACTGCCTCGTATACAAATTTCACGGCCCACCAACTGCCAAGCGGTAAAGTTCCTACACACTGGCAGATCGGTTCAGCTTCGAATCCCGCAAACGGACTAGCTGCATGAGCATTTTCGTGGTTTTCTCCATGTATAACGTGTTATTACGAGCCAGTGTCCATTTGAAAGTTCGCCACGAAGGCATCCTCCCTTTCATGTAGAGCCTCAGGGAAAAACACATAAATAATAATAATACACGTTACACATGAGAAAAGGAGGAAAGCAGCCAGCCCGTTCGCGGGGATTCGAACCGAGCGACTTACCGCTCGGCTGCTAGTGAGTCCTCCCGAACCGGTTGGAATCCGAGTTTTATAAAGAGGAAAGCAGCCAGCGCGTTCGCGGGGATTCGAAACGAGCGACTTACCGCTCGGCTGCTAGTGAGTCCTCCCGAACCAGTTGAATTCAGAGTTTTATTTAAGTTTCGCTTAGCGCCAATTAAGCACATAACAGTTGTACGTCTAGGGAGTTACATAATACATACATTTCTTAAACACAGTGATATATGTTTTTGGACTAATTCAAAATTATATTTATACTGGATAAGGAGCTGTGCTAGAGACTTGAAACAGTTCATCTCCACTCGTGTTTCAGAAATGCAACAATAAAACTTAGAATAGTTGTCCATGTATAAAAAATCCGGCGTATAAGATTACTCGAAGTAATAAAGCATATTAATAAATACATATCGCACAGGATGTGGCGGAAAGGATTTAGCTGGTTTTGAGAATCACAGAAGCATAAGTTCCACGCACAAAGTGTTAAACGTTGTGACAGTGCAGACACTGAAAAGTAAAGGCGGTTATGTACCACGCAGATACCATGCGAATTTAGATCAACTGATATTGGACTTTACATGTGCCATAACTCGCACCATTCAACTGAAAAATGTTTTTTGACTTAACAGAAGAGAAAAGCATTTTCTTTTCGACGTTACCTCGCAAGATGTCAGCTATGAACTGACGACGCAAAGACACTTAGCAGAGTAGAACATGATCTCCAGAGGTTGTAAAATTAGTACAGACTCAAGTTAT